AAAATGACCCTGGGGGAAACTGTTGAGATGTTGCTGAAAATATATATATATATATATATATATATATATATATATATATATATATATATATATATATATATTTTTTTTTTTTTTTTTTTTGTAAAAAATGAGTCTTTGAGGGGGAGGCGGGTGGGACACTGCTGAGATATTGCTGAAATCATCTAGCTGTTACTTTTCAACTTTATGGTTTCCAAGTGAGAGTTGCTATCCAGAAAGAGGACTTATGGTAAACAAATTATAATTTTAATTGATGCATGCCATGGTAGAAATATTAGCAAAATGCCAAACTTATAAGCTTATTATCTAGGGTGAGCATAATGGTAGATGTTTCAATTTTCAGCAAAATTTATTTTCAATCATTAAATTACTCATCATCATTAATCATCATGGATCTGGCTAAAATCAACTAGCAATTATGCTAATTAAGGAAAGTTTATCCTATACTAAGTCCACAAACATCATGAAGGCAAATCATTATGTTATATCTACTGCTAATACATGATACACCATGTATTTCACTTCAAATGTAAGCTCATCATTTTCCTCTTATAAATAAAACGCCAGCAACCCAATACTAAACTCCTTCACTTATCATACTCCATTAAACTACATTTTATAAGATCTCCCTATATTACTATGCAATATGCTTCTCTACATCACTAACCAACTAAGTACTAATAAATTGAACCTTTCTTGACTGAATAATATGTTTTCATTTTAACAACAGTTATACAGCTGCGTCTTTGTAAATATTCAAATATGTGAAACAACGCTAAGATTTGCAAATTTTGAAAAGATCTTCAAATGACATTTAGCTCACCTGAACCTTCAGGACAATGGTGGCCTATCTTGCAAACACCCCCTGTGGCACCATCATTCACAGGCCTTGCACTAGTGCTTCCACCTATGCAGTAGTATCCTGGTGCACACAGTTCTGTAGGTGTCGTTAGTGCTGTTCCATTACACACCATTCCTGGATCACAACTAAGGCAGTGACTTTCATCCTGTCCTCCAGTGAAGGCACTGTAGGTACCGTTAGGGCAGGGATGGTGGCTGAAATAAGCTGTTCCTTCCGGACAGAAATAACCAGCTGGACAGAGGTCACCAAAAGATTTCCCGACAGGAGTGGATGTGTCAGCACCTTTTTGGCAGTAGTGTCCAGCATGGCATTTGACCACTGGCTGTGCCAGGCCACTCTCAGTGCATGCAAAACCTTCCGTACACAGATTACAGGCCTCTAACTCAATCTGACCAGTTTCATCAAGATAATGGCCAACAGGGCAAGGTGTTGGTAGAGAACTACCTTCGGGACAAAAGTGACCTTTGGGACAGATGACCTTTGTGTCCTCAACCGTAGCAGTGCTGTCACAGTAAAAGCTCTGAGGACAGGGGAGGCAAAAGTTTGAGTTATTCAGGGGTTGGTACTCTCCTTTTGGACAAGGCTCTGGTTTGGTAGCACCTGGTTCAGAGTAGTGACCTGCTGGTGTTGCATGTTGTATTGCAGTGGTTGCGCCTCCTGTGCAGTAGTACCCAGCAGCACACAAAAACATGGCAGTTGAAGTCCCAATATCTGCAGCGATGCAAAAATACCCTGGGTCACAAGGCAGACATTCACTGACACTTTTGGCTCCAATAGATTTACTGTACGTCCCCATGGGGCAGGCTGTTGGGAGAGTGGATCCTGTTGGACAGTAGCTTCCTTGTGGACACAAGTCCCCCAGGGTGCCACTGAGAGGAGCTGGAGACTGTGAACTCTCCTTGCAGAAGAAGCCAGCATCACAGAGCCCACTGGGAGCTGTCAGCCCTAACCCATCACAGTACCTTCCACCAGAACATCTGATACAATAGCTGCTGTTTGTGGAGCCACTGATACTGTTAAAGGTTCCCAGGGGGCAGGGGAGTGCATACTTACTGCCAGCTACACAGTAATAGCCAGGGGGACACTCCTTGGTTTCAGCCAAGCCTTCCTCGTCACAATATCTCCCTTGCAAACACTCCAGGCATTCAGCTTCTGACTTGATGCCAAGATCTGGGTTGTAGGTTCCTATCGGGCAAGGCAAAGCCTCTGGATGAATTGCAGCTCCAGGGCAGTAATGACCCTTGGGGCATTTATTGAATATATCTGGTGGCAGTTGCTGGCCGGGTAGACAAAGGGTTCCAGCTGGACAGACTCGAGCGGTCAGCATGAGTGTGGCACTAGTGGTGGTACTGTCACAGTAGTGACCAGCCAGGCACAGGGTGCAGTTTATGGATCCTACTTCAGAGAACATGCCCTTTCCACATGCTAGAGGGACAAATGTGCCATTGCCTGGGCAGTAGTGACCACCTGGGCATTCTAAACATGCAAGTGCATTCTTTTCACCATAATTAGGGTTGTAGAAGCCTCTGAAAATACATCAGATTTTTCCCTACAACATATGCAAATCCCTTTATGCACATAAAATCAGTATTCATATATTTGACACAAATGATTATTAATAAAAAGTTTTGCTTGAAAACTCACAGCTTGCCCTAAATGCAAAGAGTTGGCTAATATATAAGACTGCATAAAACATTATGCCTGGAAACTCACGGACTGCAGGGCTCTGGGATGTGTGTCTTCTCC